ATATATATGTATGTATATATATATACAGATAAAGTAGTTTTCAGTATTAATTTAGTAATTCTGGAGAAAATACTGGGAAAAATAGGTGTGTAAATCTCTTGTGCTAAGAATGTTGTATTTAATGTAAGATTAAAAAAATTGCACTTTCCTAAAGGTTTTGTTGTTGATGTAGGCTTCTAAACTCAGATTTATTCCTTTGAAATCTAACCATGCTTTTATTAGATTAACTAGAGGGATCTGAATTTGAAATCTTGACCTTTACATTTTCCTACATCAGTTGAAGGTCTAGGGAATACATTGTTGAACTCTGCGTGGGCAAAACTTAACTGCATTGTTACTGGTTCCCTGAAGACAGGCCTTTACCTTCTTTTGAGCAGCCATACCCTCTCCTAGCTGTTTTTCCTATATGCAATTTCTTTTCTAAATTATTGTAAGGAGTTCTTTCCTCCAAAAATCAACTCGATGAAGGTCTGCTGTACTTTATCACCAGTGAGGTTTAAGGTTTTTCTTCCTTTGAGTAACCCTGTGCTTTCATGTTATTTCAATGTTCTTATTTACCTTTGAGTCTCCGTTTCTGCAGTAAATTACCAGGGTTTGTCATTTCATGTTGTTTCTCAGTACTATCCAGAATCATGTTTGAACTCAATCTTCTCCTCCATATTTACTTTGCATTAACAGGCACTATTTCTCTCCTGAAGCATACTCTAGTCCTACTTTCCTGGCCATTGCTGTTACTATCATTCTTTATTTTGTTAATTGTTAGTCAGTTGCATAAACCCTTATTATAATTGACTTTTCTTGACATCTCATCCAAGAATGCTGAAATATTTTCTATTATTCTTATATTTCATTGATACACACATGAAATAGAGCTTTCAAGATTAGTTTGGCTTTTAACATGATTTATTATTCTTTGAATAGCCTTTCTTTCCCCTTTTCCTGTTGTTAATATCCTTCACACTTTAAATTACTTTGAGGTTTAGTGCTTGTTTGCACTTTTATGAACAAGTTGTTGCTACTGTTGTGTTTCTCCGGGCAGCTGGCTTATAATGTTTATTTATCCATATATTTTAATTACTGTTTTTCTGACTTCTTTTCCCCCGACCCCCAACACTATATAAGTGGAGTATACTTCCTGTGCTAATAAATGACATGAATGTTTTTCCCCCCATCAAATTTTTATCCTGGGATTGTTTTCTGTCATTTGAAAAGTCAGGTAGCAAATACTGGCTAAACTGACATGCAGTTTATTGCAGTTATTGGTGAGTTGAACACATTAGATGGTCCTTGACCAACATTCCTCATGTGTTTTATGGGATTCGGTTTACCCTAATTTATTAACAAAATCATATTGCTGTCCTTACCAATCCCAAAGTGTAAATGATCCTGCAGAGGTGAGCTGGGACAGTTAAAATACTAGGATTCCTTGTGTTTGGCTCAGTTCAGCACACAATGAGGCAAAACTACACTTAAGTTGTATAAGGTTTTCTGTAAGACTAGAAAAATGAAGAAACATAATTTGAGAGAGGTGAAGGAAGACAACTGTAGATTTTTCTGGTGATGAGGTGTCTGTCTGGAAATTGTAGTTTTCATGTGGAAAACACTTTAAACTTCAGATAAGTGCTGTTCCACAAGTTGGCACTGGAATGTTACCTTCCAACCCAATTTTGGATATTGATATTTTGGAGAACAAGGAATAGGAAAAGGAGGTCCTGTGAGCAAGACCATTTGCTGTGCATGTAGTGTATAAATGGAGTTAAACCCATTGAGATTAAAGGTCAAATGAACAGCTCTTCCACAGTTTAGATCTGTACTTCTAAGCAATAATCTTCTTAAGCACAGGCATGATGGTCAGTACTTGTAGCTGTGATAATGACTAATTAATATAATGATACTTGTATTAACTGAAGAGTCAGACAAAAGGTTAATGGGATAATGAGGCTTTGTTGATCACAAAGATCTAATGTGAAGCTTCAATGAAAACAATATAATTAGACTTAAGTTCTTTCTTAATTTCCATTTGTGTATTGCTATATATTTTTAGAAAAAATATTTTTGTATATTACATTGACTAATATGCAAATACTATATAGATATCAATCTGATTTACTTTTAAGATTACAATTTTTAGAATTTTTTTAGGGGTTTTGAATTGTCTGGTATAGTGGTAAAGAATAATGGGCTTCTTCTAGAGTCTTAAAAGTACAGTTAATGAGTACTGTAAAAGACTTGGTTTATAGTGAAAGAAATCAGTATACTCTTATACAAATAATATGGTATTATAAGCAATATTACAATAAATCTATATTTAACACTTTTTCAGAAAAACTTTAAAAGAAACACAAAATAGAAAGTTTTAGTGGGACAGGAATTTCATTACATATTCCTAATTATTAGCATTTACATAATATTTAAAACTTTCAACATGTATAATTTTGTGATTATATGATTCTGAGACTATATCACTGTAGGAATCTGGGTCTGTCCATATGATTTTTATTTTACTTCTATATATATGTGATATTTAAATTTATTCCATTAGGTATTTTTCCTTTACTGTTGTTGACATCACATGTCATGAATCCCCATGTAGTGGTTTTGTGTGCCCAGGTTTTGGCAGTGGTGAGGTTACTGGCTTCTGTTGCTAGAAGCTTCCCCATGTCTGGGGGAGCCAGTGCCAGTGGCTCCAGGATGGACCCACCACTGTGGCAAGGCCAAGCCAAACAGTGGTGGTAGTAAGGCCTCTGTGATAGCATATTCAAGAAAGGCAAAAAGTTATTGTGCAGAAGTATCTTCACTAGTGCAGAAGTGCAGAAGGACATGGAGTTCCTTGGTTTTCAAGAGACCAGGTGGAGAAATAAGCTATTTGGCTGTGCTGCAGTGGGAAATCAGCAGCTTGAGTTAGGCTGCCTAAAGCGGAACCCTGGGAAGTGAGGTGGAGCAAGCCTGGGAGCATGTTCAGATGACTGAATATGTAGTCAAGTGGGGCTCAGTGTGAGGAATATGGTGGGGAAAGCAAGGTCTTAGCATGGAACACACAGTTGCTATGCAGGAGGAGACACAACAGGGAAGAAGTTCAAGGGGAACAGTAGTGGGAATGTCAGGATTGAGATGAAAAGATCCACTTCCATGAAATCAAAGTCCCTTCCAGAAACTCAATGGAAACCTTAAATCCCTGATTTTTATATGTTCTTGCTCTCAGCTGGTAGTCTAAGAAACTCACAGCCATAATTTTCACGTTTTTAACCTTTTTCCGTGTTATTTTATTATAGTTTTGCAGTTCGCATAATGGGGTTATGCACAATTTTCTGTGTACATTATTTGAAAAGATCCTCCTCTCTAAGTGGGTTTAAAATGCCTCTGAAACCTACTGATTTTTGCATTCTTTCTGAGACAGAGTACATTTGCATATTACTTCGCAGAAATCCAAGGCATTTCTATGCTCTAATAGGACAACATGCTGGGACGTTTGTTGTAAATAGTTAGATAACATTTGAAAATACTTAATCTCATATCAAAACAGACACAGTTATCTTCTGATCTTACCTTCTTTCATTATCAAATGATACTTCATCCTCTGCCCAGCTGTGTTTTGTGACACAACCTAAGCATTCCACATTGTAAAGCTGCATTAAACAAAACTGTGGAGAATAGGAAATACTCTTCTTTAACCTTATTACAGTTAATTAGTTTTTTATTGTTAGAAGTTGCTTCAAGCAAGTTTTCTCTATAAATAGCTACAGATAAGATAAATAATTATTCGTCTAAAAAATTTACATAGCAAGATTTTAAAATCTCTCTTAATTATTGATTGCCAGTAGGAATATGTCCACTGTGATGTCATATGTCCTCTCTGCTAATACTGATGTGTGGTATGTAGCAGATTTTTGGTTGGTAAGCATATACAACAGCAAATTTCCAAACCTTGAAAAAGGTGATGTGAATAATTCTTATATTTTGCTAATAATGAAACTCAGAAGACTAGTTTTATATATATCCTGTTTAACATTTTCATTATTGATCTGGATACTGGGGTGGAGTTCTACCTTCAGCAGGTTTGCAGATGGCACCAAACTGGTAGGAGTGGCTGATAGACCAGAGAGTCATGCTGCTATTCACAGGGAGTTTGACTGGCTGGAGTATTGAGCTAGCAGGAACTTTATGAAGTTCAACAAGGAGAAGTGCTAAGTCCTGCACCCAGGGAGGAGCAACCCCTATGAACCAGTATATCCTGGGGGCCACCTAGTGGAAAGCATCTTGGCAGAAAAGGACTCAGAGCTCCTGATGGACATCAGCTTAAACATAAGCCAGTGATGTGCCCATGTGGTAAAGAAGGCAAGTGCTATTGTGGGCACAGAAGGTCCTGTCTGAGCAGGTATAAACAGGTATAAACCTGAACAGGTTTTGTACAGGTAAAATGGATTGCTGATAGGTGTTTCAAAGAGAGGGGAAAGGTGGAGATGAAGTGTTAAGGTTTGTGAAACAGGACAATAACAATCTCTGTACATCATACCGTAACTTACCGGTTGTACGTTATTCTTATCTTGCAAAGAAATCTAAGGAAAAAATAAAATCTATTACTCAACCACACACTATTGAACTAGAATTGAGGCTTTTTTCATTGACACCACAAGCAGTGAAAAGAGGTTTTCCTCCCTGAATATTCTTTCTGCCTTCATAAATTTTATGAAACAGCTCTTCATTGAATGGCACCGAATATCTGACTAATACCACATCTGTATGTTGTTATATATAGCCAGAGGAGTATTTAGAGTTGCTTATAATTATTTTTCTTAAAATTAAGGTGATGGTCTTCTCCACTAAATTAGAATTGTTTTTCTGTCTTCAGTTCCACCAGTCATCCGAGTCTATCCAGAGAGCCAGGCAAGGGAGCCAGGTGTGACCGCTAGCCTTCGGTGCCATGCTGAAGGTATTCCCAACCCACAGCTTGGCTGGCTGAAGAATGGAATTGATATCACTCCAAAGTTATCCAAACAGCTAACTCTTCAAGGTAAAGTGGCATATTTATTGTTTTCTACAGGTTGCTGACACTTTATCAGTGCATCCTCTCTGTACTAGCTGCCCTTCTTGCATAGTTTTAACGAAGGGTTGAAGTCTAATCTAAAAATTCAGAAGATGTCTTCCAGTTACTCTCCAAGACATGTATCTTCTCTGCTTTCTCTGTTAGAATAATGATTGTACTTAATGGTAGAATTACCAGTAAATTCCCATATGCTCTTCTCAGTTCAAAAATGTGCAGTTTCTGAGTGGAGCAAGCAGCCCAAGACCCAGTGCCAACCAGAATTTGTCACAACAACTGTATTAATGTCATTCAATGAGAATGCAACACTAATATTTAAATTGGGAAGCAATACTTTTATCTGTAAATATTTATTCTAATACATTAGTATCAATCTAGTTATTTTTCATGAGTCCAGATTTGAATTTAGATGAGAACATGAAGCAAACTTTACCTTTATTGCAGCTCAGTTGTAAGCATAAGGATTTCGACTGATAAGAACCTCAATGAGATTTGGGGACCTGACAGTGGAAAGGACAGGAGGAGAAATACCTGAAATGGATGTACTCTTTTCTGAGCAATAACAGCAGACCTCCAGGGGAGTGCAAAGACAGTGCAAACATACACATACAAACACTGCATCTCCCCAAAAAAGCACCACCAAAAAACAAATAAACAAACCAAAACCTCCCAAAACCCCAGCCAAAACTAAAGGAAAGTCTTACCTTTAATCAACAGTTCACCTTCTATGAATCTTGAGCTCTCAGCAAGTCAATGGACCTGGTGATTTTTGATCAGCCATAGTGTAAAAAAAAATCTCATGCTGCTAGTGTCTTCTTGGAACCTTCTCTCATTCACCTGCAAAAATAGGTTGCATCGTTAGGATAGGACAGCAATCAGCCTGTACTGTAAGAAGCATTGGGACGGGCAGATGGCAAATGCTTTCCTGAAGAGTTCCCTTCCCCACAAGTGTCATAGTCCTCTGTTCTTTCACAGACATCTCTCCTGGATATTTGTGAACAATTGCCTTTCAGAAACTTTCCAGTATGAGTATGAAGTGATGGACTCCTGTTTCATAGTAGCATTCTGTTAACTTCTGTTTTGAATGGATTTTTTTTCTTCACCTCTGTTTCATATATTCATTATCAATGAACTTTTTTCTCTAAGCAAAGTACATTTACTTGCATTTTATTGCATGTACTTCTTTGAAATAAAAGTTTGAATATCTTGTTACATTTTCCCAGAGATTTTCCTGGGTTCAACTCTCTGTGTATTAGCTTCAAGACAGATGTATTACACCATAGCCCAGTGCCCCTTCTAGTCCATACTTTAGAATACCTACAAGGCTGGTTTTGTGTATAGCTCCTACAGCTGAACTAGTATACTATAGTTAAAGTACAATGAATCGTTGTTCACATCATTATTCACATCACATTATTTAAAAGACCTTTGCCTGTGAAATCTGGACTGTTTGTTGATGTTCCTACACCAGCTGACATATAATTCCTGAAGTGGTTTCCTACATTGATGTGGATCAATGTGTAAAAAGGTGTAAAATTTCATTGCACCTGGTTTGAGGAGGGTTTTTTTTGTTTTAGTTGGTTTTGGTTTTGGTTTTTTTTTTCAATTTAAGCACCATTCGCACAAAAACAAAGCTAGGTACGTCTGGTTATGAGAAACAAAGAACTTCATTAAAATTATTGTTTCCCATGAAATTTTAGCCTGGTATGTTCCATGGAGGCATGGGTTAATTTGTGTAAAGCCTATGATGGTGTCAAGTGACCAAATGCAGCATAATAAAAACCTAAAATTTATCTGATTTTAAAAACAATCATAGTCATATGAATATATAAAACCTCAAACTGATATTTGGCCCTGAAGTCCAAAATCAACTGAGGTACTCTGGACATCTGTGAGATTAATAATAGTGCATATAATTCACTAGCCAGTTGAATACCTTTGGACTAATTTGGCATGCCTCCAAGTTATGAAGTCAGGAATGAATATGGTTTAATTAGTATGATCAGAGAAACCCTTCTGAATGTAAAATCTGAAAGCAATGTAGCATGTCAGCACACTGAATTTTTCCTCTCCTTTCAGCAAACGGTAGTGAGGTTCACATTAGCAATGTGCGTTATGAGGACACAGGAGCATATACTTGCATTGCAAAGAATGAAGCAGGGGTGGATGAAGATATTTCTTCTCTTTTTGTAGAAGATTCTGCTCGAAAGACCCGTAAGTATTGTGAGAAGTATAAAAATATATGTAGCCCTCACTTAAACATTAAATTGGTATTGAAACTATGAAACATGAAATAAATTAAGAGGATCTTGTGTAGACTTAAAAAAATAAGGTTTAAATAATAGTTTCTTAAGAGTCACCAGTGGCAGAGTACACGATCTGAAGTTTATTTAGTAGTAAAATGAAATCTCTGATTCATTGTGTGAATCACCATATTTTTCACACTGCTGTTAAATTTTTGATAGTTTCCTCATGATATGAAGGGAGTGTGAAGGGAAGAAGGATCTGGATATATAAGGCAAAGCATTAGTGTGGTTTCTGGGCATTGATGGGGGTGTGAGAGGAAGACCTTTTGCAGTCTCTCTTCCTGTATATTCTTGAGATATACCAAGATTCAAAATTTGGCCGCATGACATGAGAATAATCACAAGACTTGATCTCACCTGCTGGAGAGCACAGCAGGTCCTGATCACTGCTAGCCTGCCCATGCTGTCTTGTGCCTGGATAACTGTGGCTCTTTAGAAATGCGAAGCAACAGTGACCTATTCACTTGCTAAGCTGGGAGTTCAGTGTGTCAAAGAAATCTCTACCACTTTCTTTATCCTTTGTTAAATGGTATTGGAGCTTAATAAGCCCTCTTTACCTATTATTTGTCTACCTTGATACTTCTTTCATCTTCCCTTTCCTTTGCTCTGAAAAATCCATTCCTGTTTTCACTTCACCCATTTGTTGCAACAGTGACCTATTCACTTGCTAAGCTGGGAGTTCAGTGTGTCAAAGAAATCTCTACCACTTTCTTTATCCTTTGTTAAATGGTATTGGAGCTTAATAAGCCCTCTTTACCTATTATTTGTCTACCTTGATACTTCTTTCATCTTCCCTTTCCTTTGCTCTGAAAAATCCATTCCTGTTTTCACTTCACCCATTTGTTTTTGTCCTCTCCTCTCCTCTCCTCTCCTCTCCTCCTTTCTTTTTTGTCTACCTTGATACTTCTTTCATCTTCCCTTTCCTTTGCTCTGAAAAATCCATTCCTGTTTTCACTTCACCCATTTGTTTTTGTCCTCTCCTCTCCTCTCCTCTCCTCTCCACCCCTCTCCTCTCCTCTCCTCTTTCTCTTTTCTGTTACTTTATTGAATACTACATATTCATTAGAAATCTGTCTAGTAAAATGATAGTTAATTTACTGGTGAGTCTAATTGCATTAATTTAAGGCATTCCTATTTATCTAAAATCTTATTCAGCATTGCCAAGGACTCGACAGAAGATACTAGAGGCAGAATTAGTAGCACCTTAAGTGTGCCCAGCACTTCCAGTCACAGGACATTGAGTTCAGTTGCATATAGATTTACTATGCTTTAAATGTCTCAGGCATAATCTTCCATGCAGGAGAAGTTTATAATCCAAATGTTAATACCATTACTTAGCTGCTTTCAGTAGCACTAATTATAAATGTCTTTTGAAATGCTTTAACTTTTTTTGTAAGTGTCATGAAAATGACTGCTCAGACATTTCTGAGAAGGCATCTAAGGATAAATAGGCTGTTTGATCATGTTGAGTTTCTGGTAATCTGGTGGTATGAAGTAGCTTGGCCACTTCCATTTGCCTTTTGCAGTGTGTGAAAAAAATGCTGTGAATGTTGCCAAATTACAAAACCCTGACAAGCTCTAGTTTGTTTACGCTTGGTTAAAACTCGTTAGGACTTAACAACAAAACATTTATATCCATCTGTCCAGTTTCCAAGTGTTTTAGTTACCTAATTGTTGTGTCTTCTGAAGAGCTGATCTGCTGTGACTGTGTAGGGATATCCACACCTATGCAAAATAAATTTTTCCTTACTTGTATTGTGATGTAATAATTTTAGGTGGGCCATCTTTACAGGATTTGTAAAATCACATGCCATGCAATGAACACTGCTTGCAACAAATGCTTTAATTTCGACTAGCAGTAAGTTGTTAGGATCGCTACTGGTACCATGAAAACTGTAAATGAAGGAAGACAGAATATTAACCCAATTATTTCTAAGATAAGCCATCCAAAAAGTATAGGCTCCTTGCTTCCTATAAAAATCATTTATTCTGCAAGATGTTGTATGTTGAAGGAAGGCATTTCAGCACTATGTTCCTTGGTATCTCACCACAGTTTCCTAAAAATTGGTGCATGTGTAAATACACATATAGTCCAGAGCTGCATAATGTAACATTCAAATGTAGGTGCAACAGATAAATGATGAAGTCTGATTTGCTTCCTTTGGCTCTGAAACCAATTTCTATACATACAAGCAGACTAAGGTACATACAGTTTCTATCAATGTCATTATCACAGCTACATGAATAATTTGCCTAAGAAGATGTTCCTTTACAGGGAGGAGTTGCTAGCATTAGAAAACTGAATTAGGAATGGAAGAGCTTCATTATCAACTCCTCTCTGCTTGGTTTTTTCTTTCTCCCAAAACACTGGTCCATGCAGCATATTAGCAAATATTAGGGAAGAAAATGACATAGGTAAAACCACCTGGATAGGATTGTGGGCTTTTTTCTCCCCACCCACATGTATTAAACACAATGCTACTGCTACTTTAATCTCCAGCCTGCTGGTTAGGTCACAAGTTACATTCTAAAGATAGTCTCTGGTGAATATAAATGTGATACCATGTGACTTGATATAAACCATACCTGTCATTGATGACATTTTTATAAATAATTTTGCTGTTATGCTCCTTTAAGAACATAAAGCAGACACATTTGCTTTTTTAACCTTTTTTTGTCTTACTGGATGAGACTGGACCTTTTGAAAATGTTAGGATATTGCTTTGAATAAAAATAGAACAGATTCTCACTAGCTTGTCAGTTAATCTGGGCTTGCCTCCTTTGTAATGTCACATAAGGTAAAAATCAAAGCAAAATAAAAGCATTTCTGAACATTGAGTTGATTTGTTATTGAGAGGTTAGTGAGAACTTTGCCGTTGAGCTCTAAAATATAAAGTACAATTGCACTGCCTTGAGCATGACTAATTTTATATGCCACATAAGGAATACTGAACATGATTCCATTATTACCAGTGTATGTATTTTATTTCCTAGAAAGTTTAATAGTCAAAGTAAATGCTAACTTTTGTACTTATCTGACCCATTGTTTATGTGCATATGAAAACTTGTGTGTTTTAATTCTACTTTACATAATAAGCTGAATTTTTATTATTTATCTGTGGAACCTCACTTTCAACACATCCCACATTTATGGAAAACTCAGTACAGTGTTTTGAGAAAAAAATTGATCTATTTTTCAGAAACAGCATAGCTAGTTCATTTCTTTGTGAATGGGTAGTGTAACAACTCCTAAGAGAAAATACTACATTTTCTAGCACCTCTGCCTAAGTTAAAGCCAGTGCCATTGTGGATAAACAGATTGTTAAATAATAAGCATTCCTTCATCTATGTGTATAAAAATGCTATCAGATTGTTAGGTTTTCAAAATTCATGGCATTGGTTACAGAGGCATAGGTTGCATGTCTCTGTATCATAAACAGAAATAAATGGAGAGAATGACAAACCTATACTGAATTGTGGGAAGTGTGATGCTAGGTGCAAAAATAAAAATATATAATGCAGAGTATGATTTAGAGGTGCCTGGGCTTTGTTTATTTTAAAGTTTCCCATTTCAGAAATTTGAAAGCTACTTACCAAGAAAAGTCAATATATTTTGATGATAATGGTTCAGCATTAAGATGGTAATCTGAGATGGAAGTGAATGGAAAATATTGTGAAAATGCTTTGTCATCCAGACTGACCAGCAGATGCCAGTCTGGGACATGATGTTGGTGATTCATTGTGAAGAGCCTAACTCAGGCTTCTTGAGAACCTCTGTGCAGATGCTAGAAAGCTTCTATTAGGTGATCCCAAAGCCTTCTCCTCTCCAGGCTGAACAAGTTCTGTTCTCTTGTTAATTATTATTAGGTATGCATAGGTTTTATAATGTGGGCTTTGTTCTCACTTCTTTTTTTCAACAGGGCTCATGCCTGAGAATTTTTGGATTTTGTCATATCTGTTGGAAAGGCTATATTTTAATCTCAGAAAATGTGGCCTTCAGCTGGAAGTAAATGTTTCATGAAAATGCTCTACTGTAACTGGAAACTGGAAACTACTTGTGATCATTATGACATTTTATAAAAAATGCTTCTAGTTTTTTCTGCTTTCCCCACTAGATATTAATCTTTTCTGTATTAGATAGCATCTTAGATTGATAAAGAAAACAAAAAATTCTAATTATCTCTGTATTTTTTGTGCCTTCTTTTTTGTCTCCTTATATATCTTTTCAGAACATGCATTTTAATGTATCATGACTTTGATAGTCAAAAACAGCCAGACAACATAGATCTGTGCATCCTACTCCTATAGCAGTAGCATTTAAAATATTTCTGAATGCAAGAACTGTGCTGTTCTGATTCTCTAGAGACTGGAAATGCTTTTTTTGCTGTGAATTCCATTTTCCCTCAAGCTTGCAGCTAAAGCCATCGAGAATGAGATAGCTGCTCTGGGTGATAGCTGAATAACCCTTGCAGTGACTGGCAAAAACATTCTGGGGATTAACGACCTGGTCTAAATCTCATTGAAGACAGAAGAGTATCCCCTACTGTCATGATCCTCTAATAATAGCTGAGAGAGCTCAGTTGTATTGGAAGGAGTGTTGGACATAATCACATTTGTACATACAAATAGCAGTTTGAAATCTGGTTTTAGTTTCATTTCAGTTTTGATTTTTCAGAACAGATATTTCATGGAGTCATAGATTTAAGCATGATGGAACCATTTTATCTAACACTATTCCATATTCTCCATTTCACAAGACATTACATTGCATCCTGTTCTGCCTGAATACAGATCTAATGCTTTGTTTGCCTGAAGTGTGTCCTCCCAGAGATGCATCTGCCTGAGTCAGACATGCAAAGAGCAAAAATATCCCTCATTGGTATTTTGCTTTACTTATTAATCAGTTTC